GCGAATGGGGGCCACGACTCGTGACGAATCCCCAGCCGCGTACCCAAGTGAGCACGTTCGCCGGAACGAATTCAAACGACACCGCCACAGGTTGGATGCCCGCGATGTTGCGGTTCAAGATTACGATGCCCACGTCGGCGCCATTGGGGTGTTTGATTTCCTGGGTGACACTGGCCAGTTCCCCGTCGGCAAAACCGGTTGAATAGTGCGTGCCCACGACCACAGCACGTAGTTTACCAGTCAAACAGTGTGCCGCTGTCAAAACGACATTGGGGGCGATAAGACTACCGCCGCACTCGGTCGTATCATTGGACGACCTCTTGAGCCCAACCACATAACGGTGCTGGCCGAATTGGGCTTCCTGGCCCCCGAGGATTTCGAAACCGGGGGCCTCGTCGCCGCGGACAACTTGGTCTTGAGCCAAGGCAGCAACGGTCACGGTGAAAGCGAGATGGAGTGCGAACTTCATGATGGAAATTGGAAAATGAATGGTCTTTCATCTAGTCCCCTGGTGTCAATCCACTAGTTAACGTCAGACTGTGAATGCACTAGCACACCAAGTACCCAAAGTTAAACAAATAGATGGTTGGGATGCGTACAACAGACATACATGCACTTACGCAAGTCTTGTCATGAAGTCGTCTTTGGTGTCATAAATATCCAACAGTGTGACCGACATTCTTGCCAGAAAATCCGCTACTGTATCGCACTTTCAAAGGATGAAGGACCCACATTGAAGTAACACTTACGATGGATGTATGCACTGCGCGATATGCGATCGTACTATCCGCATACCCTTGCTTCCTTCGTGGTTGTTGGTGGTCGAGGTTTTCCAGGCAGCAGTCAAAAATGTACAAAGAAAGAGGGAATGGTACGCCTAACGAAGTTTTGATAACAGCTGTCCCCCTTTTAGCCAATAGATACAGAGTACTCGAATTCGAGCAGATAATTGGACAATAATAATATTATCCCGCCGGAGCGAATTTTTCAAATTGACTTGCAACCTTTGCCCTCACAAGAGTCAGCTTTGATTTCGCAATGCAGGAAGAGCCCAGCATACACCAAAGCGCAGCTACACTGTCGCAACAAAGCAGGAAGTACTTGGACTAGTGGAAACTGGCCTCGTCGACTACCAGGTGTCTGAACTACTGGGTATTCCACGTCGAACAATCCGAACATGGATTGACCAGAAATGGGACATCCTGGCCTACGACGGTAACAAAAAGCGCAAGAAGATCGTCCCTGGTGGCCGTCCCGAAACCTTCCCCGACCCAGACGGACTCGTTCTGTTCATGAACGAAATGCGTGAACAAGAAAGAGCCCTGACGACAACGCATATCGTCAACTGGATTAAGCGGCATCAAGCTGACTGGCTGCGCTCCTACGTTGCGCAGAAAAAGCCTGGCGCCGGATACCAAAGTCTGCTGAGACTTCTTCAACGGTTCTGCCATCGACACGGCTTCTCACATCAACGGCCTGGGAAGAACAAGCAAAGCCAAGCTGCCTTGGTCGAGGTACGCGACAAGTTCGCAGAGGATTTCCACCGCGAGTACCGAGGGTTTGGGTCCTGAGGCCATCTACAATGTGGATGAGACTGGGTTTTACTATGACATGCCGCCCAAGTACATTTGGTCTGCTCGAGGGGGTGATGCCAAGATATCGACTGGTGAGAAGCATTCTCTTCGAATGACTGCAGTTCTCACCGTGCGTGCCAATGGCGACAAGCTGCCAATCCTCTTTGTCATCCGTGGAGCTCCAGGCGGCCGCATCGAAACGTCTGAACTGCCGCTGTTTCCACGTGGCCATATCAACGCTGTGTAGCAGAAGGCGTGGATGGATAACACCGTGTGGAACTATTACCTGCGGACGCTGCTTGCAAACAACCTGTCCGACCACTCCGTTGTCCTACTCGACAACTTCGCGTCTCATGTCAACGATGACTCCTACCGTATTGTCCACGAGGAGTTGGGTAGCCTGCTTTGTCCCATTCCTCCCAACGCCACGTCAATTTGTCAGCCACTTGATGTCGGGGTGATGGCGCCATTCAAGCGTTACTTGCGCGATGCTTGGTTGACCGAAGAGATGATCGACGGCGAAGATGGAGATGACTTTGACACCCCTACCGCTGGTCAAAAGAGATTAGCAATGGTGAAACGTGACATCGTGGCATGGGACCGCGTGTCACCAGTAGATATTCGCAGGAGCTTTGAGAAAGCTCTCCCAGTCCCCACTAACACTGAGTAAATGGTGTGTTCATGCATCGCATTGATGGTCCTGCATGCCAAAGGCACTTTTCAGACAATGATTTGTTGTGGATATAAATATGATAAAATTAAATAAGTTGCCTATGTCTAATTGTGTTGTTGTATGCAAATTATATTAATTTTGTAAATTATATTAATTTTGAAAAAAGCTTGACACTACCCGGGTCCCTTCCTCTATCATCATGGATGCCATCGCGCTAACCGTTGCGCCACTGTGTCAAGTGCTATCTTCGTTTCGCGTTCGTAGTTTAAGTGAGTAATCAATTTGATACTCTTGTAGTTAGTTCATCGTCACATCCGATACAGCGCTAGCACAAGCAATGCCATTTCCCAAGACAATCCAATTGCAAATTTTAATAACCTCCAACAAAAACTGCCCTGATTGGCTATAAAAACAATCGAACTTCGCAGTTCGCTAACCAATAAGCAACCACGTTTCATATCAGGTCGAAGCCCATGTTAGGCGTACCATTCCCTCTTTCTCTGTACTCACGTTAGTGCGACTTTTTCGGTGGGAAGTGTAGAACCCACACGAACCTACTGAGCGTTGAAAGAACCGAACAGAGGGTGAAGGAGGCGAAGGGTGCACGGGCATACGTACCCATATCTGCGTTTGTGGTGGAATTGACTGGTGTTGCGATTTGCCATTCGCAGAACCCCTGAACCCCTCCCAAGAAGGTACCCAAGTGTTCGATTAGGTTGGATATCCTGTGTGCGATCCTATTCGCTAGTAAGATTATTGGCTGTCCAGCAGCTGTCTGATTAGGCTAGGGTTAACTGTAAGCCCCAGTGACTTTTGCCACTGGGGGGAATTCACTTTGTGATTTGCCTTTGGATCGGACTTCGTAAGGTCCGTCAAGTTGAGACGCAACAAAGAATTCTTTAGTAGCAGCCTGCTACTTGCCGTACGAGTATGGAACAAGGAAGTCTGCCGTTTACGAGCAACCTGGCTCGTGTGACGCGAACGCGTACTATGGAGACCGTGGTGGCCGTGCCATTGCCTCCGCCGAACCAAGCGGAGATGGACGAGCTGCGGATACAAAGCGTAGAACGAGCGGCGATGACGTCAAGTCATTTCAACCAAATGACGTACGAACAGCTGGCGCAGTTCCATGTGCAGCAAGAAGCCATGGCGAAGCGGATAGAAGATGAGTCTTACCGACAGTTTGCGATGGCGAAGTATCGCCTGGAACAAGAAGAATCTCGAGCGATTATTTTACGTCAACAAGAAGAACTGGTTCGTCAGCAAAACGAACTTAAGCGAGCGATGACCGAACAAGCCAGGGTCTCAGAAGCGCATCAAGAAATGCTCCGCCAGGCGTCGGACGCGATGCGCCAGCAGAACTACAAGGTAGAAGAGCTGAACCAGAAGGTCCGACGGGATAGCGAGCGATGGGGATTATT